TATTAATCACAAACATTATTTATTATGCTACAGGCTGAGAGCACTCTGTTTTCCGCTTAGAGCCCGGATGATGGTTTAAATATAGGCGAAACATAGAGCAAGAAAAAGTTTTTTTTTCGAGATCTATCGATCGATAAACTCAAGACTCTAAATTTTTTTTAAGTATTACATAAATCACAAATAATTTCTTAAATATTGCCAGAGACATTGCTTCTAAAAATATCAAAAACAAAAGTTGTAGGAACAAATCTTTATCTCGATGTCCATAATTGAATTTTTGATCCACCCTGAATCAAATTGGATTTTTTGGTATAATTCGCTGTATATTAGTAGCATTTTATTTAATTTACTTTTATTTAAGTTACATTAAGTATGAAAGTGATCAATCAATTATTCAGCCTTAGTCATTAATTATATTGCTTAACATTGAACATTGCGAACAAAATAAAAGGTTTTTTAATAAACAACTAAAAATTATATTTCTGTGTGTTTATTTTCAGGTGTGTTTTTTTGAGTTGTAACATAATTATACAGTGTCTCGAAATTAAAAATAGCACATGATATTTCATTTAAATGATCATCAAAAAATAAGTTTTTTTTGAAAACATTTTTTTCGAGATATGGAGAAGAATCGTGTTTCTAGCGGATTGGCAGAACAAAACATTTAAGCAGTTTGCAAATTTTTTTTCTAAACAAATCAAGTTATAATTCTCCTCTTAAAGCTTTTAAAAACAAGATTTTGTAATATCAATTTAAAACAAGCCTACATTCCTTGATGGTCAATTGATTAAGGATTAGTAATTTGAAAAATCAATTCAATAATAAATTAGGTAGTACTTACTAGGTTAAGCTTCATTCTAGAAAAACAGATAGATACCATTAAAACAATTGAGACACTAAAAGTTCTTTAAAATTTGTATCATAAAATTAATATTCCGCCAAAAAAGTAGTTTTAAAAACTATAGTAAAGAATATCAAAGATTGTCAAGATATTCAAATTCCAAAGAAAACTATAAACATTAAATCAAGACTAAATAGTAGATTTTCAAGTGTTTGAAACATTTCTTGACATAATATATACACACTATACTGCACTTTTATATATTTTATGGAACCTATTTGAAATTAAGCTCTGAATAAATGATGATGCATACAATAAAAAAATTAATTTTGGGTTGATGTCATCATTTCATATTGCATTCTAAAATACTCAGAAACCTTGAAAAAGTTATTTATGACACAACAGTAAGTATGACTTTCCTTGCAAATAGATAAACATATTTAGTTTATCATCTTTTACTTTTAATCGTCATTTTATCCGCCAATGAGTTAGCGATCTTAAATGCAACATGAATAATTTTCAAACCTGAATCATTTGGTGTTAGTTGTCATGGAACAACTTTTTGTATTTGCTTGCAATTAATATAAAAAAATAGCTGAAACTCAATAAAAATAACTTTGTAAACGGCAATCCTATGAATTTAGAACAGTTATAGTTCTTTGAAAAATGATATAATGTTGTTCCAAAAAATAAGAAAAGAGTAAGTGATAAAAATTCGTACAAAAGGGCAATTCAGACTTTCAATAACTTGTTAAATGAATACAAAGTATTGTATCTGGATAAAAGATCACACGCCAGTATGTTAGTTTTGAGTTTGAGTTTTTACTGTTATTAATGTACCTTCATATCTAATATAATAAAATAAGCAATGTTTCTTGGCCGCTCAATCAAGAAAACTTGAATTTTAGTTTGTGTGTAAGATTTTTTATTGATAGGTTTTTGTTAAGTTTTATTTTTTCTTGCAACTGGACCTGCGTATAAATAACTGTGTTTATCTCTGCAGGGTTTTATAGTTTTATGTATAATTTGCTGTAAATCTTTTCTGGTTAAATAAATAAATAGATTATACATAATTTAATTCATAACACCGAACCCATATTTAATACTAGGTACATTGACCAGGAATTATTACCAATTTTATAGCAAATAAAACGGCGTTGTGATATATGAAATCCTACCAAAATGTTATCAGGCATTTAATAAAGAGATTTATAGAGTGTTTTTTTTAAATTCGTTTTTTTTAMTWTKMATCCATGTTTTTTAATGTTATTCCGTAAGGCAGATGCTGTCTACTTTTATGGAAAGTCTATAACACGGAATATTATCTTATCAACTTAAACGCACTTAACAACACTTCAATGAATGAGGTGATGTAATTTTTGCAACCTGTAAATGTATAAATATATAAAATATAAATAATAAATAATTAAAAATGTAAATCACAAAAAAATGTAACATATAAAATGAATGAAGATTTCTAATGGAAATTCTTGTTGTTTAGCACAGTTTTTCAGCTTTTTACTTTGCGTGTGTCTGATCAGCCGAGATTACTCTACCATATGAGATTAGATCATATTTTTATTACTTTCCTATGTGGTAATATATGATCATTTTATAATTCATTCGTCACCATTTGCGTAAAACTATTTTATAGATATTTGCACTTCAATTAAGCCACTTTGATTTCCAATTGTAAATGTGAAGAATTTGTGAAAATAAGGAAACATTTGTTATGAGTATTTTGCCTGATTCGTACTGCAACACGCTGATTACCAGTTATCTGATCTGAAGGCCGGTTTTTATCGGTGATGATTAATGGGGTACTTTTCCATAGTTCAGGTTTGGAAAATCGTAGCAAATCGAACCATCGCCAAAAATACTCCTTATCAATTTTCAGAAAATTGTTTCTTCCCATTAAAAAAATATATTCATTAAAATATGCTAAAACATATTCTGAGATTGTTAGTGCATTATTTATTATTCCTCAGCTTCTGTGTATAATTAATAAAGCTTTTGGTAAACACGTTTGCTTGAAGTCAAGCTGAACTGTTCATCCCCCTAATAAATGTTTAAATGTTGACACAATTCAAGCTGAACGGTAAAGATACAGGAGTGTAAACAGGCATGTAGTAGGAACATTGCGTTTACGGTACATTTGATATTCTATACTGTTATAGGGTCAATTTAATTAGCATAATAAATAGACGGGGGATTTAAAAGCGTTTTTGCCAAATTCCAACAGGGATTTAAAAGTTAGGACTTTCATACGTTTTTGTCCCAGTCTGCGAATATATTCGGATTTTACATGCCATTTGGGTAGAAAAAAGCATTTGCTAGGATTACGTTATTTATGAGCAGCTTGAGGGCTTTAAATCAGCTCGAGTCACAGCTAGTGGTAATAGATTTCCAGAAGTTGTCTTGAAAGAAGAGCGATTACTAACCTTTATTCGAACCGATTATCATTGGATTAAAAGTATTGACTCTCAAAGCAATTAGCTTTTAATCGAAGGCACACACCTTAAAAACAACTGGCGCCCCATTATCGCTAAAACATAAATAAAAATATTTACTAAGTACACGTGAATTCGTATCTTTCCCATCGTCATATCAATATATCATCTTTCTACATCCTTTGTGGATTATCATACGGAGAAATACTGAATTTCTAAAACGTCGTTTAACAAATGGTTGTCATGAAATATACGAAATTTTGTTTCGAATTTCTTGTGATTATTTGTCGTTTAAAACTACCATATATGAACATACATAAAATCAATCTAATCAAACTGAGACAGGAAAATATGTATGAGATTAGATACATTCAATAAGAATGTGATCGTCATATTTAAATTGATTATTTATGGACTTATTAGCATAAGCATATTGTCTGCTAATGAACTTGACCTCATGAAGGCCACCTGATCAACAGCTTTACGATATCTCTTTATTTGCCAAATGCACGGCGAGATTTGAGAATAAATTTGTGACTTCGATTATCCAAGAACTTTGCTATTGTATAAGATGAACTTTTATTGTAAAATGTAAATAATGGTCTGACTGAAGGCTTCATCCGATATCAGAGCAGATATTGCTTAGATAAATGTTCTTGAAATTGCTGATTTTATAATGCATTTACTTTCCTGGAACTATAGAAGGTAATGTGTATATCATGATTCGGTCGCCTTAATTTGTTTCCAGTGGCGGTGGAAAGATATATAGTTATTTAAATAAATTTAGTTTTGTTAACATTGTTTAATGAATCTATCAAAGAATAATGAAGTAGCGTTTTCTGCTTTGTCATAATTCCTAATATTGCATAATTGCGTACATTTAATTTGCACAACTTTAATAAATAATATTCACACATGAGAATTGCCGCATTGAAATATAAATTCTTATCAATTAAAATGTTACCTATTACAGAAGTTGCGATAGCGAGTAAGGCATTTTACTTTCTAATAACTGCAGCATTTTTTTGAACATACGTACTTAAGTATGTATATCCTTATACAGACATAATTACATTGCAAACACCTTTTATAATAATAATTTGCAAGGTAAAAATCCATGTGAGTTTTCCCTCGGTAATACGTTTAATGGAAAATTAAAACAACCGTTTCAATGCCCTGTTGTGAGTCATTATGTACTTTGCGGTTAAAACAAAATAAACATCTTTAACAGTTTCTGTTTACAAAGGCGTATCGTACTGTAGCACAATGCTCTAATTAAAATAACCGCAGATTATTTATTTATCAATTCCATTAGCTAGTAAAGTAATACGTTCTTTATCTATTGAATATTTTTATTATTGCAAAGAGACATCAACAACAACGGTATCAAACCACTTAAAAGTACTATTGTGGAAATACAATTTGTACGTGTTAAGGAGTGTTAAGTTTCAACAAAACAATTGGAGGTAGACGGAGTAAATCATTTTAAAATAATTGGAAGGCTTATTGCCGAATTAATCATCGGATATGAGGATTTTGAACACAATACGGGGCTGAATAAGCGCTTGACATTAAAGTAACTAATCTTGCCTGTTCAATTTGCAAGGATGCATAATCCAGATTAAGACCTAGAAGTTTTAGAAAAGCACATTTTTCTAAATTGCGTTTAATTATTTTTACATTTATTTGAATATAAATTCTTGTTACAGTGGACGTTCTAGTGGATGGAAAACCAATTAGACTAGAAATCTGTGATACAGCTGGAGAGGTAAGAAATGATCACCTTTAGTTTTAATTCATTAAAATTATTCATAAAATATTTTTTTTATTGCTTGAGGTCAGCCAATTGGAAGCCCATTTACTAGCAAATGAAAGTCAAATCTAAAATCACCGTAATAGCTTTGTTCTAAGCCAATAAAATCAAAATACTTTCACCTAAAATTGGTATCCAAGGATTATTAATTGTTTAAAGAGCCTAATTGAAATGACTTTATTCGCTGTTATCGCCAAATCAAGAAACGAAATTGCGATAGATCGAAATAGAATATGTGAAACGGCACATTAATCAATAGATAAATGTTTACAATTCCTTATTATCTTTCATCTTCTATATGAGAAAGTATACACGCATGTTTTAATAACACTTATGTCAGATATATGCAAGCCGTTTTAGATAGGCGGCAATTTATGTTCTCTCCCATTTTGTGGCGTTTATCAATACCAATTAATCAGGCAGTATTGACTTATAATCTTTTTTATTAAATAAAGGGGAACATCAGCACAAATTGCCATTTTTTAGGTTTTTTTAGCCTGCATTTCTTATTAATAAATTAGAGCTTTTCTTCATTGGTTCATTGACCTGATTTTAGCGAAAATCTGTTGTCAATCAAAAAATTGTTCTGCTGATGAAAGCAAAAAATATGTTACTTTAAGATAATTTAATGTCTAATTTTGTGTGCAATTTAGTTTATTTCCACTCTTAAAAATGTATCTCCTGCGGTAAAAAATCTCCATTACGGTAAAAGATGCAGTAAAGTTTGCCGATTTAATTTTAATTTTGTTATTGACCTCTTTGATATTTAAAGAAACTGGAGTTTGAAATCGAAAAAAGCCTGTTATTTGTATCTCAAAATCCAGTAGTACGCGAAACGGTAACATTAAGTCACATAAAATTGGATGAGGCTATTTTTGATAAAACCCCCCCTTAAAACACTTTTCGTGGCACATTTTTGTAGTTGAAACCACAAACAAAGAAAACACTTCTTTTGCCCTTTTACGTCAGAACATCCTTTATAATGGAAGAACGTGTATTTTATTTTAATTATAATTGCTGCGTAGTTAAAACGCGCATTTAACAAAGATGAGAACTTATCATCTTCAACTAATTAGCACGTAATTTCACAAAGTGAAAAAAAACCAATGTTCCTGCCCGATAAACCTGAACAAATCAAGATGAATTGTTCAGGCCGCTTGAAATAAATCAACATTTATTAATACCCAAGTTGTAATTGCTGTGCAGTTTCGTTTTGCAACCGAACAAGTACAATATAATAAATAAAATAACAAAAATTATGAAAACCGGCCGAGAAACCTCGGTGGTCGTAACACTTGCTTTGAATTCGAACAAAGAACTTTACCGGCTATTTTCGAACAAGAAACCTGCTAACTGCTTTTATACACTGCTCGGATGGAACTTGCAAAACGTCCATAAAAGCTTGAATAGAACAGTTTCATCTAAAAGAAGTAATGCGTAAGTACCGCCTTTTTGAAACAATAATAAGTATTTTAATTGAAATTCTATAAGGATAGGGAGTGCCTATCTAACTCTTGACACTTTTAAAGATAATGATTATTTGAGACAAACAGCTTGGTTTGTGTGGTATGTGTGTTCAGAATATCTATATCCTTTTATTGAATAAACTTAAGCTTTTTTCTCAAGTCATTATAATGAAAAAAACACCTTAAAATGCTTAGAACTTTTGAATCAACATTTTCTGCATTTGCAAATCTCAGACTGAATAATGACTCCGCCTTTATCATTTTTCACACTAAATGGGTATTAAATTAATAGAAATTATCAAATATATTGAGTTTTGGACTTATTAGTCAAGTGTTTAATTTTTGGGAAACCCGCTTTAATAGATCTGAAGGTTGGATTCCGTAATAATTTATCTGGAACATTATTTTAAAGTTTAACGGTTTATCTTGCAATTATTCAATCATTGTGATAAATTACTTGCATTATCCATTGAAGAAAGTATTAATATTGAAAAATCTCAAGTTTTTTCAAATTCAAAATTAGAGCGGCGCCTAAACTTTAGGTTGCGGAGTATATAATACTGTACATATTTAAAGCTAGATGAGCAATAAGATTTTTTGATGATTCATTCTTCTGGCAAATGCCCGTTTGTCATTGAGGAAGATTCAAAATAGAATGTTATTTGAAGCTTTAAAAATTGCTTCTGTACGGGGAGAGTTTGTAACTAATGGGCGGCGATTTAGCTGTTGCAGAATTATTTTAGAAAATTTGCTGAGCGGATATAAATATTTTTTTATTTCCCACATCCAAAGCGCTTCATTTTTCAGTCAGATTAATGATTCCACTGAATCAAATCCTGTATACATTATTACTAATTCCGTTAAATATGAGCTTTTAGCACAACCGATGCTGAGAACTCGCATTATTTATCACACATAAAGACTGTGTGCTTGATCCGATTGCGTTTCTTCTCGACATCTTTTACGTGCTTTTCTTTTTAACATATTTGCATGATTTGTGGCATCACCTTTTATGTAGCGGTGCTCTTATCTTTTTACAGAAAAGAGTAATTTCAGTACACGAAGGAACGGGTTATTGTGCGCCTTATCTCATGAGGTAATCTCAGTTTCCCTAAAACAGGTCGTTTCTGCGTACTTTTATCCACTATGTTGAAAAGGAAAAATATGCACGCATTTTATGCCATAAATTCATCCGAAGATATGCCAGTAAATTAACTTATGCAAAGTGTAAATTTGTTAATCATATTTAAATACCCTTGTTTCTTTAAAACGTTTAACATTAAATTACTTAACTTTAATTACAATAAAATATAATTATACTATTACAATGTTAGTATGTATGTGTTTAAATTTCGACACGTTCCTAATAATCGCACTTTTAATAGGTTTTTCCGGTTGATATGAATTAATTGGGCGCACCTTTGAAGGCGTTTGCTTTATGACGAAAAATTATGTTCAGGTCATAAAAATTATTTAGGATTATCACACTTCGATTGAACTGTTAAACCATTCAAATATCCTCATCCGTTTAAGATAAACAGTCAAGCCAACTTTATTGGAGATAAAAATGCTGACTTTTTGCCGCTGGGAAAAACTAACATGTACATAAATGTATTTTCATTTTTTTCAGGATAATCTAGGAGGACCGCTTAGGGATCTGTGTTATCCTGGAGCTGATGTTTTTATGTTATGTTTTTCGCTGGTGCGACCCTCCTCTTTTAGATCGGCATGTGAAAGATGGGCGAATGAATTGACCCGATTAGGAGTACCAGTGGTACTGGTAGGATGTCAAGCTGATTTAGTGAGAATGCCAGACGATATGGGATATTTGCGACGACAGGTAACATACAAAATCTCATAGCCTTCTAAAGGTTTTAATTTTTTTTCTGTTTAGCAACAAACCACAGTACCCACAGAAAACGCGGAAGGGTTGGCTCGAATACTTGACGCCCCTTATGTTGAAACTTCAGCCAAAACCTGCAAACATCTAAAAGAGGCTTTCGACGAAGCCATCATCAAAGCCTTAAAAAGACGGAAAGAGGTTCTGAAGAAGAAATGGTGGTCAAAGCTTTTCTGTTGGAAATAAACAGGAACTCTATGGACAAAAGAGGCAGATGGTTTAATATTGTTGTGGATTGGGATCAGTCTGGAGTCGAGTCGAATGAGCAGATTCGATGGATGGTTTGTTAGAAAAAAAGGTGTCTCCCATTTTGATCTCAGCCCGATAATCTACCGAATTTCCTATTGTACTAAAGCGCCTTTGACTGATGTTATTTTATATGATCTCTAATTTGCATCATCTGCCTCTCTATTGGGCTGTATTAAAAGTGTGATATATTTGTGTATATATTTGCGTCCAAAAACATGCTCAAAATCAACTTTAACTAGACGAAATTCTTTTACAAGGTGGTGCATTTATAAATGAATGTACATATATACCCAACAACATACTTCATAAATGTTTCTCTCAAACTCGATTAGCGTTATTCAAATTTTATCTTTACGACCGCTGGGACCCTTTCTCTTTAATTGCATCTCTCGGAAATGTTTTCAGTGATTAGTTGGACTGTTAGGAGAACTTGTTTAGAGACTTGCCAGTAATTATACCGTGATGGTCTGGGCATCAAACGAATTCCACGTCAGATGAATGATCAATTTGGATCTTTGCCGCAGATCTTCTTGGAATGGTCATATCTGTGAATCAAGGAATTTTGGGAAAAATATCTAGTAAAATGTAATATAATTTCACGGTTTTTCTTAGAAATTGGTAACATGGAGCAGAACGGACTCATTTATGTAGATATTAAATCAAAAACAAAATACATTAAAATGTAACTGCAAATATTTTCAATTATTAAAAACATGCTTTAATTTGTTCTGATTCTAGTGATATGTCCTCGTCATCAAATTATTTTGGCTAATGTTTGCTTGGTAATCTTATCTAGCATAACATGCAGTCAGACGTTTTTATACGTATCAAAAACATCTACCTTATGCGGTATGAATTGTTTTTTGAATCTAGAACTTTCCATTTTTTTCTCTGAATTAATGGGTTGAATATGGATTATCACATTTGCGCTAAAAATAGCTTTCAATATAAATAATATTTTCTAAAATAATTCAAGATTTATTAAACTTAAAACTTAACTATAAATTATTGATTCACTGAATCAATCAATATTGGTTTGATTCTTTTTATGCTCTCTTAAAATGTAATTATTTGCGCAAACGTGGCCTTCAATATGTGTTTTACAGCAACTCCTTAATTTGATTGAATATCGAGTTTTGAGAAGAATGCAATAAAAGAAAATTTGCAATTAATTGGTCTGTACCTATATCTAAGTTCGCAGAAATGTACAGTTTTATCAACACTGACACACATTTCCCTGCAATATTGCTTTACATATAGCGCATATTTCAAATCGGTTACGGCTTGTTGATTTTAAGCATGTTTCGTTATCTTTTACGTAGTTTTTGTGTATGTCAGATATTATACTTAGCTCTCAAAAACCCCAAGGGGGTTTTAGTATTAAAAACTAGTTAAATTTACACTTATTCGATCAAGTGTGCTAGTAAAAAAGAACAGCTTTATATTGTATTTAAGCAAGTTGTAAGGGATTCGGTCTGGGTCTCCATGCAAATTACAGTATTTCTTGCAAACGCAATTATCAGATTTTCAATATATTCTTAAGGAGAAAACCACACCTAAAGCACTTTTTATCATTAACACGAACTTTTTCAGCAACCCTAGCAATAACAACCATTTATAACATTTACAATAAAACTAAACCAGACCGAGTCTTCGAGAAAACTTATTCATTTGAGTCAATAAATTATCTCCCAATTTATATTGCATGTATCAGAAATTTAAACGTTTGATGGCCGGAAACTCTTTCTTTGTCCTGACTGATGGCAGATTTAATCGACTTGTACCTATATAATTATGTAAGCTATGTGATTTTTGCTCATATAAGAAACCTTCCATGTCCATGTGATATCTTAATCAATACTGCAGTATTTGCATTTTTATAGCAATGGTTTTGGCTGAACAATGTGAAATCTGGTTTCAAATAAATCTTACCAAGCAACATCTTTAAAGTAACTCGATTAAATTAATACTCTAAAATGGAATGTTTGAAATGAGTGGTTAATTGTGAACCTCGAGTGATGCGATTGTAGTAATGTATTATTCTAATCTAATTACTTTAGTCAAACCATATGTAAAATAAATATATATGTATGTATGACATTTTACACGAATTTTGCGATTCCGACATTTTTACATTACTCGCATTAGTTGAATAAATATATACATATTTAAAAAAGTGAATATCTCATTTATTCATTTAATAATAATCCCATTTCATTGTGTGGGATGAAACTAGGTATTTCATGTCCAAATAATTATTCCATCAGTTCCATCAGTTCCATCAGGAGCGTGCCAGAGATTTAAGCAAAACCGTAGGTAAGCATTTATGTAGATCACGACGAGACTGAGATTGAGAATAAAACACAAGAAATTTTAGACAATACAAGTCTTTTGAATTTAATCGGTAAAGAAACTTAAATTTATCAAAATTAATCAGGAATACCGGTTTGGGCATTAAGTACATAGAAAAAAAAAACAATTTTTTATTAATTTATTGATCAATAACTGCGCCTCTCTTTCCTTGCCTTTTTTTAATGTGTCGCTTCTCATGGCGCAGAATTTTGGACTTTTTCACATCCATGTAGTCGCAGTGTTCACACCTGAATATTTTGTTGGTGATAGAGCGAACCAATCTTTTATTCCAAGGATGCCGTTTGATTATATGCGCATCCAAACTGGGTTTTTCATTGAAGTTCTTATAGCAGTCTAAAAATACATTATAATTCAATAAACCGAAAAATAATGCCACCTTTATTTTACCTGCCGCTGGACAAAAAAATGGCTGCACTATTTTCGCTTTGTGCAGTCGTACGTGTCTAGTTAATGATCCTTTGTCGTTAGTTTTATAGGAACAATCATGGCATCTGAATTCTGTGGTTAAAGCCCGCTTAATATTCTGAATAGAATCACTGAAAATAAATAGATAAAAACATAAAATATATTTTAGCAGAAAATAGCCGACAATATTGATATAACAAAAAACCAATGCCACATGCTCATGCTTGAAGCCCAAATACTTATGTGAATCATTTTGTTCCAGCTTTCCCAAGTTTATTAATTAAAAAATAGGAAAATAAATCAGAATTTAAAAATGGGGTTTGAAAATCGACATTTTAATGTTTTCGGGCATTTAAATTTGAAATTGCAATGCGATTGCATTTAGTAGATAGAATTAAATTAATAAAATTAATTGATTTTTTTTCCTTTAAGGAAAACAACAATATTGCTCTCAAGTTTAAAAACACCACTTCTTTGTAATTTAAGAAAATTATCCAAGTACAGGGCGTTTGCAAAGTGGACTTATTTCCTGAAGGAGATAGTAGGAGAATAATTGTCATAAATAGCTTCAGCTTTGGATATGCTTCCTTAAAATGCCATACTAAGAACGCTTAGTTTTCGATCTCTGGTATGTTCAGATTTTTTTATTTTTACATCTTAAATGTAATAATAATAATAAAGTTCTGTAATTTTCTTATTAATCGACACCACTACTGAAAATGTCCTCCTAAATGCGGCCGGAAAAGAAAACCATGATAGTTTTATGGCCTCTAGTGCTGGTTCATAAAACAGCTTGGGGGAAGGGTGTGGGTCGTTCGGGGGGTGAGAGTGATGTTAGTTTAGAGAAAGAAAAAAATAATAGAAGGGAATACATAACAAAAAAAAAAAAAAAAATAGAAGTAAAAATTAAAATATAACAAAATACAAAGTTTTGGAAGAGTTTGGTCAATTTAGGTTTTAGTGCTCCGTTAGTCTAGTGGAAAGGTTGTTAAAGAACCGTAGGTTGGAATTGGGTTAAGCTGGAGAAAAACTAGTTGCTAAGTTTTCCGCTTAAGGCGGATGTTCCCAGGTAGGATCTGGCATTAGATTAGTAGGAGTTTGGAAGTTGTGTTTTAGGATTGTTCGGGAGAAGGTGTCTCAAAAAAATAAAATCAAAGATTTTGGTAATAGATAGGATAGATAGGAGATAAAAATTAGTTCCAAGAATTCTTGATGTAATCTTCTGAACTGCATAAAACGTTTTCAGAAATGCCTGATTCAAATTCTGAAATTTTCTTATTTTGCCTCGGTTCATGTGGCATGAATTCCAAATGTAAGTATGTTTTAAAATAATAATGGTTTTACATCCGCCCTGCATGGATAAGATCCATGCCACTTCCCAGAGGCAATGAATTTGTCTGTTTCTTTCTTTAAATATTACTCACATATCCATATTGAACTTCTCCTTGTTCATCAATCTATTTTCCAATTTTTCTTGACTGTGCGACGACAAGTGTCGGACACAAATTGTCCTATTGAGAGATTGATAACTACAAAATTCGCATTTCCAAATTTTCCTCGTGATTAGTGCTCTAGAATTCTCATCATCCATGTGCAATTTGAATATGTGCTCTTCCAGAACTGAGTGGGTGCCAAAATCCACTCCATCACAAATATCACAGATCCGTTGCTTTTTTGGAGACAGCTATAGAAGAATTAATTATTTTAATACATTAGTGTTGTGCTATACATATTTATCTCTCCATATTATCCAAACATTCAACTAGGTATGTTTAAGATGTTTTGAAAATCTCACAACATTCAAAGGCGGAAATAATGACCGAATAATATAAGACACCAGGTTTAAGTAACTGTAACAGAAAAATTACTATTATTCTTTTGAAAATATAAGACACGAATAAATGGAAAAACAGGTTTTAAGTGAATTGTAGTGATAAGGGATTTGTTTCTCATATAATTTGCTTTCGCGGAATAAAAGGCATGTAAGAAATAAACACAGGTGATGTTAATTTTGATACATTACTGTAAATTTACAGTGACTCGAGTTGTACCAAAAATATCACTACGTAAAATCCTTCAACTAGGTATTTCATTTTTTAAATTATAAATTATTGTTTTGATCATTTTCGCTATTAAATATTTCCGCACGAGCAAAACAAACGAAAAAAGTTGATTGGTAAAAAAACTAAGATTTTAAGGGAAACACTCCCTTAAATTCTTGCATATAATTATGAAACACCGTGTATATATTATGTTTACAGTAATATAAAAACAAACCTTTGATTTGGGTAATTTGGGATTGATCTGATTGTTGGAGTTGCTTGCATCAATTTTAACATGCTCTTGATTGGATTGGAATTCGAAATCATTTAGAATTTCCGGACAGTCAGGACGCTAAAATATTTAAAAATTATATCCGTATGCTTTTTAGAAACGTCAATGTGTTTTTCCAATACTCTACCTCAACTATTTCCTCTTTAACTAATCGGAGCAGACCATCATGCGTAATCCCGTCTAAACACTCTTCAAAAAATGGATCAGGTTTTACGAGGGGCATCACTGAGTAAATTCCACTTTTTTGACGAATAAATCGAAGCACTATACCACTTTCAGAAATGTCATCGAATTCTTCCAAATAATCATCGATAGGTTCATCTTTAATTTCCAGATGAACTGGTTGAAGCTCCATTGTTGAAGATCTGTTGCTTGTTATTCAGATATTCACACATCAATTTTTTAAATCACTTTATCACATGGCACTGTACTTTCACGAAATATAATAACAGTTTTCAATTCACTCAAATAGTAAACACTCTATTCGGGTGCCAAATTTTCGAATGAGTATGGTTTACTATACCCACATTATGAAAATAAAATTTTTGAACTCAGTCTTCGATCAGTTTATGTTTGTTTAGCTTAGAAATACTTGAAATGCCGAGTTTAATTCAGAATAGATAAAAAAAAACAGTGTATCATACATTCCTCCATGCGGCAGAAGCTAGATTTTTAAAGAGCTAGGTTAAGATCAATAACATTTTTCCCTGTAAACAGACTTAACTCGTCTCTCCTAGTTTTCTTTGAGCGTGCTCTTCGTCACTGCTAATGCCGAAGATATAAGCAGATTGGCATTTCATGAAAAAACTCACAAATTGGCAAAGATTTACATTTAGTGGTCCTTCGACCCAGATTTCTATTAAATAATATATGATCACGTGATGTAAAACAGAGACTACTTACTATTGGCTGGGACGGCCAATGGTGGCGCTGCGAAACGTCAAATTACGCGTTGTCGAGTGACAGTTGAGACTTGTCCAACTTGTTTATTTATTGCAGTTGACGACATTTATAACATAAAACAATACTTACACTCGTGCATCTGTTTCTATTTCTTTAAAAGCTTGCAAAAGTTGATTAGAACAAAACAAATCACAATCAGATGTAAACATCAATGTCAACAGAACAACTGTCAAATTACTACTTAACTTGTATTTATAATTTTAGCCACCAGGGAGCGTCTGAACTTATGAACTCGCAAATATTGATTGTTTCCTTTGATACGATTTCCTCCGATTGCTCGCGTGCGGATTATATTATATTATATTATATAATTTATAGATAAAGAGTCGTCTTTATCTACGGATAAGACTGATGGTGGCATTTAACAGATTTCATCGTGTTTGGAGTTGCAAACAAAACAAAAAACCAACAAAATTAAACATTATGCATTAATAATAATGTTTTTAAGCAATGAAATATAGGAGTAAAGACGTAATTACATAATTAAATACAGGGTGTTATTTAAGTAGGTAGCCAAACTTTAGGAGGGTGATGTCTGAGTAATTCTAAAAAGAAAAGCTTGTATAAGCTACAAGTTAACATACAGGGTGATGAAATTAAAAAAAAATCGGCTTGCCTTAAATTTGAAATTATTTTTGAAGCAGTAAGGGATTGATCTTACCACAGTGGTGTCCAGGTGGTAGGATCCCAACCTGCTCTATATTTTTCACAAAAAAATTGTAGGCGACCGACTACTCTCAAACTTTCTATTTGCTTCAGGTTAAACAACTTCGAATATAACTTTTTTGTCTCCTGATTTTTTTCGTATATCGCTTTGTTTTCGAAATAGAAAATAAAAACCACTGGGCAACATAAAGAAAGACTACCAAACAATTAAAATGTAAAAAAAACAATTAAAATTACAGGAAATATTTTACCTATTGTATCTTTTTTGGCACATAATTCTTCTTAAAATCACCTCCATATAAGTTTGATTACGTACCTAAACAACATTCTGTATAGGTTTGAGTTCATTTATATCAGAATAATTTCCGTAAATTGTAAAACAACATAATTTGCGATAAAATTATATTAACCTGATTTTGTTCTTGAAGACGATCATGCAAGTTAAATCGTTGCTCTAAAGATTTACGTGAAAAGTTTATTTGGCCACATACTGCATTTTAATTCAAGGATTAGGTACTCAAAATATCGCATATAAACCCGATAAGATTTCTTGAAAATCACAAATCTCTCAAGTATTGATCTCAATTTAAAATAAAACTAGTCACCATTCTTCCTTTCACAGAAAATATCCTCGTGTTTAACTAGTTTAAAAACAAGTTAATATAAAAGTAACAAACATACTTATGACAAGCAGTAAGGTAGAAATAGGCGAGATGCAGTCTAGTTTCGAGTTGAGAGCAATGTGTAGCAAACGATCGCGATTTAATATAAAATTAGTAGCGAACGAAAAAAACACCAATATTTCCATTCTGAACGTCAAAAACGAATTCGCCTGCAATATATGTTTATTTAACATTTTCGACTGAAAAGAGTTTAAGGTCCTGCAATTATAAGCTGACCAATATTGCAATTTTAAGAATAAAAAATATGTATACATATCACGCAAGTATAAAATATAAAAGTTCTGCCTTTCCGGGGATCTTAAAGTCCACTATCCGGAAGATACGGGAGACAAACTGGGCATTTTCGAAAATAAGCAAGTAAGATGACGATTTTAAACTAAGGAAGTTTTTGTTTAAACCAAGTTTCATTTGGTTAAATGAATAAAACTAAATTCCAACAAGATGCAAGCGAGGTGACAAAGGTTTTAAATTGTAATTTTATTGCATTTGCCTTAATTCAACGTATCGCATTCAAAAAATCAAATTTATATAATTTGCTGATAACATTTTGGATAAATTTGAGGATCTGTGGGCAGGTGTACAGCATAATTATAAGCCACTTAAAGGTCTTAGTATGAAGCTCTTGCGGAAATTGAAAAATCAGGAAAATTGCTTGGAAACTAGGTGTAGAAAATACAAGTGGTTGGGCGAATTATCGTGTTGTACCACATCTCTGTGGGTATATTTAACAAAAAAAAAAGATATTAAGCAGAATCTTCTTCTACTAATAGCACATTAATAATATTTAATAACATATCAATTAACACTTCCACATCTAGACGCACAAAATGTTTAAAATCGTTTAAAAACATTGCATCAACCTTTATAATACATATGTTGATTTGAAACATTTGTATTATGTTGATTACATTAACATATTGTTTCCATATTGCTTAATTAAGAGTTGCAATTCTCTCTATAATAATGCCATATTGCATCCACTAATTCAATATTAGGAAAAAATCAGAATTTATGACTACCGATACATATAGCGATAAGTCTGCACCTTTTTCAAAACCGTTTCACTTTTGAAACTCCGATGTATTTCGTTTAGGACGCCTCTCTGCCCCACATATCTGCATAAAAGAAATTCAGACTGAGTTTAACAGGAAAAACCACTATAAGCACCAACAACTACACTACTGCTTTAGCAAGCTAAGAATTTCAGTTTAATTGTTCTAGCATCAAAATGGCCTAGTAGTGTTAAGAAGCATTTCAATATTAAGTTATTTAGCAAAATTACTTGACACTTAGTTCAAGTAAAAATAAACAACAGCATTGTTAAAAAACTGGTGTGCAAGTGTGGAAATCAATCCCTTACCTATTAACAACTACGTATCCTGATTACTATTGGAGTTTCTAAGGTTTGGGCTCATCTGGTTTTGCTGATGTTCCAAAAGCTGAGCTAAAGATTGAGGCCCTGGTCCCCCGAACAGCGAATGTTGAGGGCCATTGAACTGCGAAGTTTTGTCACCAATAATGTTGTTCATTAGCTGATTTCCTAGATTAGGAGCCCAACTAGAACTGTTGAAAAGTGAATAGCCGGGGCTCTGCGAAAGTAGTTCCTGTGATTGGGGCGCCTGTAACGAACATGCGAATCGTTCAACACATTGGAAAAAAGCTTGTAATATTTCTCCCACTAACCATTTGCTGAGACGCAGATATTCTCCCTAAAGGTATTGTACCTTCCTTTAACATAGCCTGCCTCATGGACATTGAGGAACGTGTTCCATCATCATTAGTAAAATTATTTACTGCATTCATGCCCCAAGGAGAACTGAACAGTTCATAGGGCACATTGGGGGTCAAATTTGACAAACCATTTTGAGGCTTCATCAGAGGCCGTTGATATGGAACTCCCATTTGAGAAAAGCTCATTCCCGGATAGTTTGAAGTATCTTGCTGCATGGGGTAGTTCGGACTTTGAACTGAATATTGCATATTAGGGTTTGAATAATTTGTCGATTGATTATCTAAAGGTGCTGGCCTTTGTTGGTTGTAACCGTTAGTGTAACCGTTTGATATCGGCTGCGCATATGATTGGTTTTGAGGTGAATGGTTTTGAGCAGACATATTTTGACCCCACCAGGAACTTTGATTCCCACTGGAAGGCAGCTTCAAATCCTCTCTTAACCACCCATTTACTTGGGGTGGAGGTATGTTATATGGCGGAGGATAAGCAGGTACTTTTATATTAGGTGCATGCTGAGGTTGACTATTATTAGCTTGGGGCAAATTGGAATATGGGTTACTTTTTGAAAACTGTGGCATCATGTTGTCAGCGCCCTTGCCCAAGTTCCTCAAATTCGTAAGATAGTCAGTACTAGTAGGATTTTGTTGTTTCTGCAATGGATTTTGTTGAGGAAAAGCTGGATGATTTTGGTTAAAACTTTGTGTTCTTAAGGAGGGATTACTGAATTGGTTATTGAGTTGCTGAGAAGGCACAGATTGAGGTTGCTGGGGCTTAGTTAGGGACGGCTCTTGATCAAACTTTGTAGTTTTCTCTAAATGATGTGGATCTTCAACATTGAATTTCACCTACAATTTTTATTATCGATTCTAATTACAACAAACCACATTTTAAATATGAACTAACCTGTTTGTTTTCCTCTAGTTTTTTGAATATACTCTGCAAAACCACATTTTGCTTGGCGCGTTTTGTTTTAATCGACTCTGAATTTTTTTGAAGACTTTCAGTTGTAGTCTCTGTATTTTTTTTACCTTCCCGTTCTTCCCTTGACTTCTCTAAAGATCCCTGCGGTTTCAATATGCCACTTTTCTTTTCAACTAATGCTAAAATGGAATTATTATTGTATAGAACACCTGCAAGCACTTAAATGATTATCTTTTTTTAAATGTGTCCTCGGTAAATATTTAAAATAACTAAAGCAGTGAACATTAACTCACTTTTAACATTTTTGTTGCTATTAGGTTCTTGAAAAGTGAATGATTTCATTTCCATCAAAAGCTCATTGGTTGGATCAGGCTGTGAGAGTACTGGCTCGAAATTAAGACGACCTTTAATTTCTGTCCTACAAGTACCAAAATTAATTGCATTTTTAACAGCTAAAATCGTTGTTGAGAGTGAGCGATTAATATGACAATTCAATTAATAAATTGTTAAACTTACAAGGTTATTAACTTTGTGCCACCAAGATCATAATTGCTCAACCATTTAGCCAAATCGATAATTCGCCTCATTCTAACTTTATTTTCAACTTCTCGCTCTTCTATTTCAACTTTGAAAGTGAATTCTCTAAAATTCTGTTCCAATGGTAAAAAGCCCTGTAAATCTCTGTCTTCTTGCAAAGAACATTTTGCATCTAAAATGGAATGGTAATGGTGGGTATTACATTACATGACATTAAAATTATAGTGTCTTCTAACACTTACATTTATTGTAATTGAATCCTACAAGTAAGCTTTGGGCAGAGTTCACAATTTTGCACAAACTAGGCCAAATTTGCATTCTTTCCTTGAATATTTGACTATTCAACAAATCGGGTTTGTTAAAAAGAAAATACATGAGCAACTTCACTGAAAGGAAATTAAAATTTTTACAATATACTTAATGCACACTGCGACATAATGTGAGGATAACGTTATATTGAATATATAATTACGTGCAGGTAGAGCATAGTAATTCAATAAGCTTTCGTCACTCTGCAATGTGTAAACAGGCATCAAAAAGGAACTGAGAGATCCTACAATCAGCTCCAATATCAAATTTTTCACTTTAAGCTCATCTTTGGTAAACTCGTCTTTTCCCAAGTATGTAAGAGCATACAGATTAATTATGGTGATTTTAATAAGCTCTTGTCGTTTAAAACTATGTGTAGCAACTAAGGCAGTCATCACGGAATTTAAACTCTGAACAGCTAGTGCAGCTTGCTTGATGTCCAGTACACAGTGGAAATGAGCATGGGCACATAGAAATAGTTGTATGTAATCATTAACACTCATTTTAGTTTGAATTCTTTCCAATGGACTGAAAAACGCATAACTTACTGAACTGAATGAACTGTTATTGAATTATTTTACCTTTCTTTGTCTATTGCCAAGTTCAGAATGCCCCTCAAATTTGTTGTGGACGCAGGAAATGGGTTTTTCACACATGTACCCCTAATATAATAAAACACTGTTGATAGCTTGTTTCCTTGACTTGCTTCCAACAATGCCAATTGATTATAAGGATGACCACTATGGGGCGATACCAAAATTGCTTGTCTAAAAAATAGTAAAATTAGTATACCTATTACTGAAAAACTCACCACCTAGAAAATACTTACTTGTAGAAGCTCTCGGCCTGTTTTCTTTGGTTTCTATACCTGGCAATGTCCCCCAAATGAACTAAGCAATATTGACAAATATATGAACATGAGGCCAATTGTGGGGCAGTGACTTGGTCATTGCAAATCGACGTTTGTCCATATATAGAACCTCTGCGTCTGAATGGTAAATCAATATCAAAGTTATCGCACAATTCTTGCAATAAAATTAAATAAAATCCGGAGGCCGACTCTAATGTTCGAGTTAAAAGCGCTTGGAAATCTGATCTACGTTGGTTCTGAAAATCAAGTAAATTGCGTTAAAAGTTAATTGGATTATATCGTTGTATAAGATACAATAATTTGAATATTTTCTTTCAGTAAAGATGAGCCGATTCTACCAAAGTTGTAGTACTTGGATATACGAAATACAATAGCTGCCAGAAGCTCAGATAAAAAATACTAAATTAATTAAATTACTCGTATCTGTATCGACTCTATCATATTCTTTCTTTTACTGCCGGTCTTCAAAGAACTGTGACTTGGCCACGATACATACAAATGTCGCAGAATGTTTTTTCTGTTCCAAACTAACTAAGACTAATAAAAGAGTGCCAGTTTAACATACAAAAATTAGGAATTAGTACAATATTTGCTTACTCTCTCATAGTTTTTGCAATATACTCTTCTAGAGTGTAGGGTTCGATACCTGCCAGCAATTTCAAGTGTTTTTGAATGGATTTAAGTTTTGAATATCTTCTATTCTATTGGGAGCACTGCTAAAAGTACTTCTTAATACGAGTTATAAAGTTGAATATCACACAAATTTAGACTATGCTGAACTATTGAATAGTTAGATGTTTGCGTCAATATTGACTTTGTGATCAGCCTTGAAATAGTGATCAATTCATATATAAAAATAGTACACACTTCTGTATGTAAATTGCAATACCAAAGTTTAATTTTTTGCGGCAGTATTGTCCAGTTTTGATTCCGAAAATATCTAATTCATCTCAATATATTTGCGTTTATTATAAAACCGTATACATAATGATATATGTATAATGACCGCGTGGAAGTCTGATGATATATAGCTTTTTTCACTTGCCGATCTGAACAATTTAGCAAGAGTCGGAGAGAGTATTAAACCTCATTTAATTTCCTCACTATACTGTATACATGAGAGCCCCAAGATAATAATATTATCGAGGATCAAATCCAGGAATATTATCGATATTTTGAGTGACATTATTTTATTTGCTTGTTTGAATGATTTCTGGCACATTTATTGTTTCTAGTATCTCCATTATGGGTGAAGAAATAATACAAGAACATATTTAAATAATTCCAAGTCTAAACAAGTTTGTTAATCGTCGACAGGCTAAAGAATAGGCGCTTTGGATATTTACCTTTTTGTCCCGGACTTTCTCCTGTAACTCAGTTATATGATTTTTGAACCCAATATTCCAAAGGTCCTGCTCCACTTTCTTATCCAAAGCATATTCCAGATCAAGTATTAAAACACGATGATAAATGTTCTGCAATTTCTGTTGATTTTCCCATGCTTCAGTGTCATGGAGCAAATCAGTTTTCTTAAGGACTTTGGGTTTGAGATCTTCTGTCTGCCTATAAAACACTTCAATGACTAACTATCGGTCAGTTAAATGTAGCAAACTTACTTGAGGACTTGTATCGCTACCTTGTAACCCATATTCGGTCCTTAATTGTTTGAGTCTCAAGATTTTAAGGTTGGAGTATGACTTTGATCAGGTTACAGTTACTGTACTGTATCCGAACACACTCACTATCTATGAACGAAGAAAATCTAAACGTTTTATATTAACTGATGTATATGGTTGCTAATTTAAATTCCGGATAACATTCATTAATCTACACTTTAACAGCTCCAAACATTCCTCTTGATCTTGATTGACAGATTGACAAAAATGACATAATTTTGGTGAGCCACGTTGCCGCTATGTACGCTTCCAATTAGAAACTCTGTCTTTAGTTGCTTTCATTTAGCCTTAAAAAATTGAACTTATTATTCACTGGACTACTTTAGGCCTAGTGAATGTTTATAATTGCAATTATCTTAAAATTACTAGATTTTTGTTCCATTCCTTACTTATTACTGGCAGCATGGCAAGAGTTCTTCTTCCAAAGGAAATATTGTTAACAGCTGACACTAGCGCATATATGCTAACTTGACTCGCTGTTTACGTCTACAACGTACACAGCGAGTCAAGTTAGCATATATGCGCTAGTAACAGCTGACATCTGATTGTCAAAACAGTTTCAGGCGTTATCTATGAAAACAATTCCTTAATACAACAGAAGCAAACGTAATATATAAACATAGACAAGATATAAATAACATTTAACGCAGTGCAAAGACTGAGTAGTACTGCGACGTTATTTTCTGGGTAAAATTCTTGTCTTAAGCTAAGGCTATTAAATGGAAATGGATCAGGCTCCTTTAAATAAAGTACGTACTGATAAATTGACTAGGATCATTCTACTGTAAGGACATACACGTGTACACACTAGAAATCCCTTTGTTAGCCATCCTGTACAATATAGTTTTTAATATTTAAAGGCTCATCAGCTGGAACGTAAAGCTCAACTGCTGGAGAAACAGGAAAATCTGGATCAAGCAATTGTTTGCTATTCGGAGGCTCTTGAGCTCTATCAGAAATGTTTTGAGTTAACGAAAAATCAAATTGCTTTGGACTCCATTAATCTGCAGAAAGAAAAAGCCGAAAGGTATATAATCTAATGTAATCTGAGATGAAACCACCACACTTCGAATTATTAAACTTAAACTTATGTCTCTGTCTAAACTGAAAGTCTGTGCAAATCTGTCTATACCTACTGTCCCAAACTTTCACGTACTTCCTTCCTCCGAAGTGTATTTTTTAGGGTAATTTATCTGAAGGCTCTGTAGCACATCATATAATGTATACTTTCTAGTTTACCAAACAAGAATTCACCTTGTTTCTTCATGTTTACCTTCCATTAAAATTTTTTTAGACAAGTTCGCATATTGCAAATAAAAAAGTCCTACTTAGAGAGGACAGCAAAAGACCGACTATTACCTCGAAGCACAGGAACTATTACCTCCAGATGCTTTCAAGTAGACACAATTGACAATTTGCAAGACAGGATATTTAAGAATCTGGAATCTCACGATTCATTGATATGTTATCTGGCTGACAGAGGTAATTTTCTTAATTGAGCTCATAACAGGTTTCAACATATGCTGTTTTGTATTCAGGTATTATTAACAGTTCAGACAGACATTGCCATAGCCCTATTGAGGAGGATGAAGAAAACGGTGAAGCTCCTTTGATCGTTGGAAGCAAACATCCAAAATCTGATTCTGTTGTAATTGAAGAACTAAGGGAACTAAGTGGTCAACTCAAAGATTTTGTTCAAGGTAGGTATTTGCATCTTTGAAATTGAAGGAAACTTAATTTTATAACATCAGCCGTATTGTTGCAACGAGTCTTTATTTTTTAAACAAGTCCAAATTTACAGCCCCTGGAAACTAAACGGTCCAGCTACAGATTAGTTTTAGATCTAAGTCTCTGAACTAGCGTCAATTATTTTACAGGACTGTTGATTGATTTAGCTGAGAGAAAAAATCAAATTCATCTACTTAAACAGCATGTTCTTAAAAAATCGGAACTTGATCATGATCATAAAGCAGGTTGGTAGATTGGAAATTTGCTTCTTTGATGCATGTCAGCATTTAATCAGCTTTATTAATTTTCACATATATTTATGTGGTGTTTTACAGCTTTTTGAGTTAAATAACACAAACCTGTACAATAAATCATCACTAATATTTAATATAATTTGCTGATATTATCAGTTGTTCTGAAAATTTGTTGTCAATTGTTATTATTTTCTATTGAAATACTATATTGGCTTTCATTATGATTTCTTCTCCAAGCTAAACACAACCACCTAATTGCAGTAACTATTTTGAGACTTATTAATACTGTAATCTACTAATTTAAATTGAGGGCTGAAATATTAATTGATTTTCGTTTTTTTTTTTGGAAAATCTATGGAACGGCTATTGTACTTACGAGTTTCTTTATATTATTTTATTCTAGGGATACTTAAGATTCGCTACACACGGACCGATAAATAAATTGAATGTAGATAAAATCTCAACTCAAAGTCATTCAAAGATTTTGGAAAACTGCTATATAAACTTCAGACATTAACTTTTTATGTAGAATCATGCCTTGATAGGAGACTTTTCAGAGTACCTTGTAAATACATATACACAACTGCAATAACGTACCTGAAAAGCCATTAAAAGTCTAACAAAATATGATTTTTTCTACTTTCCTTATTAATAGTCAATAAAGGGTTAGTTTAAAGAAGCTTTATGCTTATGCTCAAAGCTGTATGAAAACTCGGGGAAAAAAGAGCGACGGAATAATTTACTTGAATTTCATAGGAGTTCTTGGATAAGTCGCGGGCTTCATGTTTATGAAACTTTGAGCTTTTAAAGCTTGATATGTTCTGTAAACATTTCCTAAATGGCACATCACCAGTCAAACCAGATCCTGATTTGTAAATGTGTCTCTTTGCTCGCACCATTAACAGCATCGGAATATTTATCTTAAGTTTGACATGATTTGCGGCTCATACTTTTGCTCGATGTTCATGATAGTTTCAGCTTTTGCGATGTTAGTTCTTAGCGCAATTAGGAGCTTTGAACTTTTGCTCAACTTTGGCAAGTTGCAGATGAAGATTCAATGATACCCATAGGTACTTTACTAGTCATTTCTTAATTTATTTATATTAATTACAAGACAATGCAAATACAATACTAATATTTAGCGAAATTAAGTTTATTCATTGACCCTTTCTTGGTACTTGGATTGGTCGGTTCTGGCTTCGAAAAAATAATTTGGGATTAAAGCTGATGCTAAAACCAACAATGTATTCAAGATGTGATCTGCCTACCGGAAACTTGATAAAAATATTGTTTTTCCAGATTTGCTTATTGCACTGGATGACAGAAATATATTGATTGATGATTTGAAGGCGCAAATTACGGACCTCGAATTAGAGAAATCATGCAGTCAAGGTGAGTTCATGCCATAATATTTCTGATTTTTGTAAAAGTTTTTTTCTAAAAGTTAGAGGTTTTGTGCATAAAATGTTTTTTCATATAAAAATTGTTCCATCTTTAATATGAAGAGGCAAGTATTTTAAACAGTCACAAAAATTCGGTGCTTTTGGTGTTTCATGTTGCAAATAAAAGATTTTAAAAACATGCCGAAATAACTATTTAAATAAATTAATTCGTCTTTATTGCTATCAAAATTATTAATTAAAGTACCCGCTTTCCATTTAACTTATTGTTATGTTATGACCGATTCTCAAGCACATTTTACAATTTGTGCTTAAAACTTGAGAACAATATTAATAGTTGTGGTGGGCCAAAATGAACACTTTTAAATGGAAACTCCTATTTCTATACCAGATAGAGAAAAACTGATGTTGGTGTCTGAGCCTCGATTTTTATGACAATATTATTGACGAAAACCGTATGTTACTATCTCTAAGAATTTTAGAGCTAGAGGGTCTTTTGTAAATGCTCTCTAATTGTTTTCCTGTTGTTCATGTATCATGGTTCTTTAAATGAAGATAAACGGATAAACACCAAATCTATAGTGACGATCACATAACCGAATCAATAGAAAATATCAAATACCTAGGCAATATCTAAGAACAAAACAGTTTCAATCATTAACGTACAAAGCGATATGTAGACTTCTGGCCAACTGCATACAGATACTGAGAGCAAATACATCGAATAAAACATCGTAATCGAAAAGATCAAATTGACATGATAAGGCCACTGCACAATCCGCAAATCCCACTGCACAATCCAGCAAACCGACTTTTGTACAATGAAACAAACGACACGGATAACCGAAAGACTGCTCGACATACAAACAAAATAGAATAACCTCCCACAACGGGACCATACTGAAGCCGAATCCTCTTTGTCTTCTAAGACGAACTAGACAATACATAAAGCTTCAGTTCCTTAAGAACTCTGCTAGAGCACTTACAAACGCAATCGAACTAACGAATTCAAAAAGTATTAATAAGACGGCAGCCGGCACCAGCAGTACTCACTTCACTTTGTGCTTCTTCCGAAAACAAAAGCTAAGTCACATCCGAATATTATAGTCTATAAGCTTTTCCAGAATCACTTCCAATCACATTTTGTAAATATGTATCTGTGATAGGGACATATATTTTGTTTTCATTTAAATAAACGACAGATTCCCAAATAAATGCATATCAATTTAACGCACAGGAATATTCAGTTGCAGCTGCTGATCTGAGGCCCGAATATGCAGAATTGCAGTCCTTCCCTAAATTAGAAAGTTTAGTCATGCCTCCATTAGATGTTACCACCTTCAAAAAGTTTAGCATCCCAGAGGTTAGTTCCCGACTATTGAGAAAGGATGATTAGTTGAGAGATATTTATTAATATTGCTAATATTATTATTCGCGTTTAATAGTATTTTTATTTAAAATTTTATTTTCAACTTTATAATCTAACTTCGATGCCGACATTTGATAAGTAAATAGTTAGTTAATTTAAACAAACAATTTATATGTAGAACACAATAATTATTTGAATATAGAAATATTCCATATTATTGCTGTTTTAATGCTTTTTGTTTTTGAGGAGGTTTATTGTTCATTACACAAATCGGATGTTAATCATCTTTCTTTGGAGGAAAATGAAATAGTTAGAATTACCCAAATAAAACTAGTATTACATTTTTGTCAATTTAATTAAAATAATTTATTAATATGAATTTTATATTAATGAATGTTCACATTAAATTGACACGTTCCTAAAAGAATTTTAAAATGTAAATCTACACACACAAAGAGAGCAAATAGCATGTTACATCCACGAGTTTAAAATAACAAGATACATAAAATTCACAAATGGTCACAATTACTTTCTAAGTAGAAGAGTTTTGTCGGTTAAAATTTTTCAAATCGCAATTAAATTTTGATTGGAATATATTTTGGTCGCTTTAAATGATTTAGTGTCTTGTATAAAATATCTGTATTGGAATCACCTACATATCTAGTCAATAAGCTTTTACCCGTGTAGCAGGCTTTAGATGAATGAGCGTGTGGACGGCGAGCATAAAGTCGGCGGGTATTCAGAAAATGATTGCATTTCGGAGCATGAAGGCAGTGGGTCGTCTTCAAGCTGTAGCGCAGCCGCACCCTGTTGTTCGCCGTGAATCTGTAGCTGGTCTGGAGCTAGTAAATCACCTCCAATCAGTAGCTGGGCTAGAGCTTGTTGAGCGCCTTCAATTTGTATCTCGGCTGCACCTTGTGGATCGCCTTGACGCGGAGGCTCACCTGGAGGCTGTGGACCGCCTGGAGGCCGGGGATCTGTAGGAATTTCTGTAATCCATTGCTTCGCAATGAACAACAGTATGATATCTTTAAACTTAACTCGATAATCTCGGTCTAGAATAGGCTCGCCTTTGGCGTCAAACCCATCACAAATTATAGTTCTCAATGTATATAAGATGTCAGCTAGCGTATAGGGTGCCATAGCATTCAATTCGTTCATAAGCTTTTCCTTACTAAACCTTTCTATTTGCTCAATCTCAACGTTGTGCTGTAGTAGTATTGTTATAAAGTGATCGTGATAAACATCAATGATATCATCAAAGTGATCTCGTAAAAGCGCTGTCCCTATGCTGGTGCACATGAAATAAACCAAATCTTTGACACCTGTATTGAACTCCAAACGATGTGGTTCCAATATTTTACTCTCTGTAGGCATACCATCCTCATTTCGCTTTACCATTATATTTCGAATGGAATATCTAGGATGGCATATGGTGAACCAATCCAATGTATCATACACCTTAGAAGTCCAAGAGAACTTTTGAGATAACTCTATCCAAGCTTGAATTTTTTCCATATGTGGTTCAAGCTCTGGCTGATTATCTAAACCCAATCGCATATCCCTGTAGATCTGTTTGTAATGGTCTTTGATGTCTGTTCCATCAGGAACTTCGTTCAGCATATGCATGACTGATTCTTTGAATTGGAATATATTTTTCAAACGCATAGCAATGGGAATTGCATGCATAAATGCCAAATTTTTAACCAGCAGTTCAGCGGTGGGCAAATCAAAGCCGGTGCATGCATTTTCAAAATGGTAGCCCAGTGGATCCAAATCATCATAAATTATAACACAGTATCTATCAGGTCGTGAACGTGTTGGCGTGAGATTAAGGCGAGTTGCAACCATGTGTGGAAATAGACTATTGAAATACGTAGTTTCTATTCCTACTCGTTTTTGATAATCGCCGATCGCGTCGAAAAGTTTACTGCAAATCGCTATTTCCTTCGTCATTCTGGTGTGAACATCGTATCTTGTAGTCATTGGTGCCTTGGGATTTTCTTGTATTGCCTTTAATATCCATCTGTTGACCTTAGTAGTTCCGGTTGTCATTCGAACTGTCATAGAAAGTTCCAGAACGCAAGGGCTCCTTCCAGCTACTGATCGTTGGTGGTACCGTTCATTTGTAATTACCGTTGATCCCTTAGCTACTTCATCAATTAATGGCTTTAATCGTCGTCGTTTTACCTCGGTCTCTGGTTGGTTGCGATTGAGGGTTCCAACCAAACTGAAATMAAATAACAAATCTATTATTYAGTTAATATCTATAMATTTTCCATRTATTTTACTGATTATTTAAGCTAATAAATTCCCTAATAACCTTCTGGATATTTAGCTTTCATGTGAAAAAAATAATCAAAAGCTTTKCAGATGTTTACMGTAYTTTTCAAGCTTTAAGACRCATTTTTTATTATAAAATTAACAATTTTTTAAAAATTTAAAACACATTTGGTAGTGCGAAAAATATGGTATGCCCCTCTGGAGSCTTAAAAGGGGGTTTTCACGCAGYAAAGAAGATCTGCTAGTCAGTATAAATTTTTGAAYGAAAAGCCYWRARA